CACAGACTTCCAATGGAAGCACTCTGGTGCCACCTAGTGGTCAGAGCTATCAAGTTATACTAAATGCCTCCATTTAGCTATTTAATCTTCTTAATTGTATAAAAAGAAAAATACTGAATTGAGTCTCTGCTCATCAGCCGTAATAACCGTCTATATTTTCTATGATATAAATAAACTCAGACAGTAAGGAGCAAACTGGTAACAAACACATTGGAGATGATGGTAAAATATTGAACAGTACAATGAGAAAAAATATTTGGCTGCAATATAATCAAATAAAAGAAGAACATGTAATGGAGATCAAAGAAGAAATAATTTTAATGTCACACGCTGATTGTATTTGTTTGACTAATGCCTGATGCTAAAGCAGGGCTGGACGATAATAACCATATATTATAGATTTACCAATTCCAGTTGAATATAAATGATATGAAAGCCTCAGAACGTCTGCCAAGAAAGCCCCGACAGAATGACTGAAAGTTTCCAATATAACATTTCAATGATAATTGTTTTAACCTTTTTTATTTAGATCTATGAGCTAAACCAATGAAATTTAACATTTAATTATTTCTCCCTCTTCATCAGCTCACTCCACAGGTTTTTGCCTCCTTCAGTTTCTGTCGTTTCCTTCTCTATTTTTCTGTGATTTAACTTTAGATTGAAGAGGATAAACACGCCTAAATCTAAAACGCTAGTCTCATAAATCTGTATAATAGTTCAGTAAAAGGACTTATTACTGGCTCTGAAAATAAAAACTTAGCCTGCAGTCTATTCAGAAACATCTCTTGATAGAAGCTGTTGACGTTGTTCGCAGCACTTTGAAGATTTTGGCCTTTTCTTTTGATGCCACTATTGTTAAGTCTTGATTAAGGATGTTATCTGTTAATAAAAGCTTGGTTTATTTTCCATTTCTCCTCTTCAATAAATCAAAATGGATCCAATCCTTTTACCTGAATGTTGATAACACATGTAACGTTTCCTTGCATAAGGCAAACCTTTATCATGGAAGCTCAGCTCATTCAAAACCGATTTAATCAAGTCTCACATCCTATAATGTTGCAGGATGCTTCCTGTTTGGGTTTAATAGCTCGTGCTTCAAAGGCTGCGCTCGGCTTCTCTACACTGAATTTCAGTTAGCTGCTCCATGAACAACATACTTTTTACACATCTACATGTCAATTAAAAGACTCTAAAATCAAACGTGGAGTGTTTGGTCACTTATCGCGGTCGCCTTTGGTCACTTATCGCGGTCGCCTTTGGTCACTTATCACGGCCACCAATGTTTTTAAAGTCATATTCAGTGTTATTAACTGATTAGATATCTCGATATTGAGTGGCTTGTGGTCGGTTGTGCCTATTAAAGCAGAGCACCACAGTAACAGTCATGACTCAGCAGTCTGCAGCCAGTAAAGCTGTTGGAGCTATCCATACCAAGCCGCCATGTTTATAGTTTAAATAGCTGAGTGGCTGCACCTTTCCAGTACTCGATGTTGCCCCTGGAGTTATTTTCAAGCTATGTTTTCATATGTTGTTCATGTTCAGCCACAGACGGGGTTTGAATTACTACAGATCTTCCTCAAAGCCAGGGAGCAGGGCTCGTCTATCTATCCCTTCTTTCTCTGTTGAAGAAAACCTATATCTTTCCCTCAGAATAATGGGCTGGTTATACTTCTGCAGTAGTGTGTCTCAGTGAGCTTGACGAAGACATTTTTAATTTATGCTCAGTTTTGAAGAGTGGTCTGCACGTTATATTCCCTGCCACAACGCAAAAGAATGAGTAGCTGTGGGTCCAGATACGGGCGAGGCGGTGAGGAAGTGGTGGCAAGTTTGTCTGTCAATGGAGGGCGAAAAATAGCAGGGATCCAGGTGGAAAAAGGGTCTCAGCAATCTCCCACACCTCGCTCTTCTAGCTGGACCTTCACGGGTTGTTTTTTTGCAATTGCGGTCATCATAAAAACAAACAAGCCGGCCTCCTGTCTGCGGGCACCTACCATTTTGGAGAGATGCAGCAGAGTGTCTGTAGAGGTAGCGGGGACGTCTTTGCGTTCACTGCGACACCTGCGCAGACGGCCTGGTTTCGAGGTATAAATCAGCCTTAAGCGATCCAGGATCTGCTGCGACCAGCTTGTGTTGAACAGGACAGCTTCAGGCCGTCAGAGTGAGACTGAGCCAGTAAATGTTTTACCAGGAGCGTATTGTGTTTGGCAGCATCTGTGGATGGCTCTGCTATTGGCCAACTACCAAAAAGATGGATGCAATGGTTTCTCTGCTCATCTCAAATTACGTCTGAGGGCCTCGGCTCATTTCCACGTCCCTCTGAGGAATGTGAGCCCAGGACTTTTATAAGTAGCTGTTGATAGAAGTGTGCGTTGGATATTTGCCACAATGGAGAGCAGATGAGCTGCAGCCAGCGATCTGACGGAGGGGACCTGCAGAACATTCATCTCAGAACCTCTCCTCAGTCTCTTCCAGGCGCTGCCTGGTGTGTCCGTGTTTAAAGTTTAGATGGGTCTGTTGGACCCTGGAATGCTTTAACTCAGGCTTCTCATCGAGCTTCAGCCGCTCCAGAACGGATGAACTCTCCATCGAAGCGCTTAAAGCAGGAATTTAGGCTGCCAGGTGAAAAGTTTAACCGTGATGATGGATCA